CCACCCATCCTCCTTCCCCCCCCCCCCCCTTCCCAAAACCCGCACACGGTATGGATTTTTAACAAACACAGTCTAAAATCTATTGAGAAAAAAGAAATAAAGAAATCAGTGACATCTCTACATTGATCTTAGCTTCTTCTTGCTGAGCTAACTTTAAACAATTTAAATCATTAAATCATCAATTTAGTTCTCATTTTCTGATGTGTCCTCTTGACACCATCCATGCTGGAATTGCAATTTGGCAATTGGAATGGCAATTAGAGAGGTACAGATGCCTCATTCCTGTTATATTTTAGCTCTGGTTACGTCTAAAAAGAACAGGTAGCGTAAATGAAAGCTAGAACATTTCTCTTTGATTTCACCAAGCTATTTTTTGCTCAACTAGAGCATGGCTGGTTGGAGTAGCACAACACCGAACCAAAATCAAAACTAAATATTTGAAATGTTTTTTTTTGTCTGTGTGTGTGTGTGTGTTGCACAAACCAGGCCTATGTGACTTCAGGCAACAATTGCTTCAGAGAAGTTACCATAACTCTCGTTTCCAGCCTCAGAAACCCGTGCTCTGCTGTGTTCTCTTAATCCATTCCTCACGATCAAAACTTTGCTTCACCTCCAAAGCAAAACCATCAATCTTTCAACACGGATTACAGGCAGAAGCTCTTAAGGATTCACACGCAAGGCATTAATGTCCCACAGAGGTTTGGACCAATAAACTTCAGGAGGCTGAGTGGTCTTTTTGTCCTTTTTTTTTGTTTTGCCTCTATAAAGTGGTTTTTGGAACAAAATCCTAAACTTGGTTATGGTGCCATCTAGAGGTGTAGATTTCCTTTCTTTGAGTGCCTAAGTTGATAGTAGATTGACATAGTTTTGCTCTGCCATTAGAGATGAGCCTTGGCATTAAAGAGATGAGCCTTGGCATTTAAGGGACCATTTTCAGTGAATGTTAGGCTCACGGCGTGAATGAAGCTGTTGTGTGAAAGAAATCTTTAGCTCCTTCCTCGCTTTGCTCCAATTTAATTGCTTAGGGCAGTGGTTCCCAAACTTGGCAATTTTAAGACTTGTGGACTTCAGCTCCCAGAATTCTCCAGCTAGCTCTTCTGGCTGGAGAACTCTGGGAGTTGAAGTCCACAAGTCTTAAAAGTTGCCAAGTTTGGGAACCACTGGCTTAGGGCAATGTTTTTCAACCTTAGCAACTCCAAGGAGGGTGGATTTCAACTCCCAGAATCCCCCAGCCAGCATGGGAATCAAAGTCCACATATTTTCAAATGCCTAAGTTTGAATCAAGTTTTCAGAAGTATGGACTTCCGACTCCCAGAATTCCCTGGCCAGCTCCTTTGGAGGAACTGAAGAAGTCTGCCATTTTCCTCACCAGAAACCAACTCCTGCTTTTGTGCAACTTGTGTGAAAAGAGGAACGAGCTTCATTCATAAAGGGACAACTTGTGTTTAATTTGGGAATCACGATGATGATCTTGGATGCTTTCATAGTGGAGTGGCCGTCTTATGTTTTGAGACAAACTCAACATTTTTTGCTCGCCTTGGTAGAAAGCTGCCACAACTCTTAGGAACAAACCTATTCTCCAAACACCTCAATTCTCTTCTCGAAAAATGTAATGCTAAATATTGTATATAGCTAATAAGATACAACCTTTCACCTTTATTGAGAGGCTCAAGGCAATGTTTTATGTTTTGGCTGGCTTTGCCAGAACATGAATCTGTTTGCTGAAATCTACCAAACATCTTTTATCACCGTTGTTTTCAACTTTTATTTGAAAGACGAGGCACACAAATGTTATAAGAAATTATCCATCTAACATAGATTTTCACTGTACTTTATTAGAGATTCCGAATGTGGCGATTCTTTGTCAGATTTCTTCTTATCTCCTGGCCTTCGTATGAAAGAAAGAACTTCCGTCATCTTCAGAGAACTGGTTGGCTGGCACTACTAGCCTGGGAAAACATTGGTGTGACCTCTATCCAAATCTCAAATCACACTTAATATCTCAGCACTTAAATCATGCCAGTGGTGCTACATGGCATCTATAGACATATCATTTGTGGACATTCATCTTAGATATAAAATGCTTATGATGAGGCCTTCATAAGAATTAAGAATTCTTAGATTTTGATTACGTTTTTAAAAACAGAAAAAGTTCCAATAGCCTCCTCTTGTCCAAAGCTGCTTTTTCAAAAGGCAACTGGAGTTTGTTTTTCCTTAAAGATGTTTCGCTTCTCATCCAAGAAGCTGAACCGAAGAAGCTTCTTAGTTGAGAAGCAAAATGTTTTCAAAGAAAAACGGAAAGTCCAGTTCCTTCCTCAGAAAAGCCCCTTTGGGACAATCAATGGCCTGGATGACTGAGAATCTCCAGAGACTTTCAGCCTACTCTTGATTTTTGTAACCACAAATTAACACAGTTGCCTTTGAGAAACAGCCGTACGGTTTCACTCCTTCAAATATTTGAATAAACGACTGTTCGTATTCTACGTTTTCACACATGACTTTCACCTAAAGGATTTCATTAAAGCTGTAAGTATTTTCCTTGCCTTACGCCATGACAGACAGCTTGTGGCCCTTAAAATCTGGTCACAATTGTTGAGAACAGCAGAGTTCCTAGGATTCTGAGAGGCGAAAGGTATTAAAACTCTTATTTCAAGTACTGAAATAGAGAGATTAGTTTAAAAAGGCAAATTTTTTAATACAGCTAACAGACCCACCAGCTTCAGCTTGGCGCCTTGCCGTTGTCCTGCCGTCAATTGGGAAGAAGGAGGCAGAAACAAACAGACAATAAAGCTGTATATTTTTTATGACGGGAACCTGGGACACTCAAGGCAGTTTCTATATGTGATGTAACACTTTGCACCTCCAATGTGATCCTTGTACATAAATGGTCCCATTGCGACACAGTGCTGGTAACAGACGATTCCACATATAAAAAAGTATTTTATTTGCATAGTAAAGAGGGCAGGTAGGTGTATAACTCAACATTACTCCTAGACCACCAGTACATAATTATATTCACAGTACAAATAAATCGGTATACATTTAAGTCTAGAATCTCTACCGTTTGATGGAACACAGAATAGAAAATAGAAAAATTGGCAACGTGAAATCCGCTCTACACAAGCAGCTGATGAGTGCCAAACAGCCACATGTTGCCAAAGGTTTCACAGCACGGCTCCGGATTAGTGAGAGGCTTGGCACTGCATGCCATCGGCAAGCCGGTTGTAATTGGGAGTGTAGGAAGAGATTGCCACTCGCAAACAGTCATCCAGATGCTTGTCAGTCATCCGTGTTCTGTTCTTCGACTTGATAAACCTCCTTGTTGAGAAAACGGACTCACACTGGTACGTGGACCCAAAGTAAGACTTGATCTTCGCCGCCGTCTTCCTCAACACGGGGAATTTCTGGGCGTCCACCAGGTTCCAAAAGTTGGCGTGACTCGAGTTGGATTTGAGGATGATGTCGTTCTGAAGGCTCACAATCTCCATCTCGACCTCTTCCACCAAGGCCTGGCACAGCTCCCCGATGGCCGCGGCCGTCTCCGCGACATTGATGGGGCTGAAGGGGTTCTCGAAGAAGGACACCACCGGCTCGATGCCGCTGAACTGCTGGAAGCGGGCGTGGAACTGTTCCTCCAAAGTCTCCAGGTAGCCCACAAACGGCGCGTTGTTGAAGTCGCTTTCCCCGACCACTTGCTTCATGGAGGGGAAGGGAAGGAGGGACTTCACCTGCAGGTGCGACTTCCACAACCTCAGCTTGCCTTTGAAGGCGTGGACCGAAGAGATCATCCCGGAGAGGTGCTTATCGTTTCGATGCAGCTCAATGTTCAAACTGTTGAGTTCTTGCATCAAGTCGGCCAAGAAAGCTAAATCCACCAACCAGAACCGATCGTCCAGCTGTTCCACGTACTGGTCTTTAGTTTTTAAAAAGGCCTTTATTTCATCCCTCAGGGTTAGAAACCTGGCGAGGACTTTGCCTTTGCTAAGCCACCGGACCTCCGTGTGCAAGATTAGGTCCCCGTATTCCGCGTCGACGTCCTTCAGGAGAGCTTTAAAGAGCCGGTGCTGCAAAGAGACGCCGCGGATGGAGTTTATGATTTTTGTAACCACGTCCATGACGTGTTTGAACTGAAGGACTTTGGCACACAGAGCCTCTTGGTGGATAATGCAGTGATACGAAATAAACTTCGGGAAAGTTTCGTCCTTCTGGCAGTGAGCAATGAAGCCGTCCATGGCGCCCACCATAGCCGGCGCCCCGTCGGTCGTGATGGAAGAGAGTTTATGGAGTGGGAGGTTGGTTTCAGCGGCATAGTTCCTGAACGTCAGGAAGATATCCTCGCCCCTCGTTTTCCCTTTCAAGGACAGGATTTTGAGGAGCTCTTCCTTCACCGCGAGGTCGCTAAAGACCAGCCGGACGATCATGGCCAGCTGGGATGTGTCGGTGATGTCGGTGGACTCGTCCAGCTGCAGGGAAAACCAGAGGCACTTCTGCAGGTCGCTTTGCAGCTGGTACTCCAGATCGTTAGAGATGGATTGGATCCTGCGGGAAACGGTGTTCCCGGACAACTGGAGCTTTTGTATGGCGCTCATGATCTCTTTCTTATTGGAGAAGCCTTCGAAAATCGAGTCGGCCGCCGTCAGGAACACCTCCTTTAGCAGCTCGCCGTCCTCAAAGGGCTTGTTCCTTTTAACCAGCAAGCTGGCGATTTTGAAAGAGGCGATGGTGGTGTTTTTGGAGTGGACCACGGGTTTGGTGTAGACGGTCAGCTGGGAGGCAAACTTGGACTTCATCTCTTTCACTTTCATTTTGCGAAGCTCGGAATCGAGGGGGTAGTTTTTGGTGAAGGTGCCATGGTTCCTCTCAAAGTGCCGCTGGACATTGTGCTTCTTGGCCACCGCGACCGTGGACGAGCAGATTAGGCACACCGATTTGCCGTTCACGTCCATGAAACAGTACCGCTCCTCCCATTCTTTGTGGAACAGATACGTCCTTTGCCTTTTACGGGCCGGCTCGCTTATTTTTGCAACTACAAAGAAGGCGAGAAGTAAAACAGGATAATTCAGCATCTGCTGGTAAGCAAAGACATTTTTAAAAAAGTTTTTTTAAAAAAATATACCCCATAAACAGATGAGTGTGATGGAGTGTAGTCTGGATTCCCAAGAGGGAGGGGCCCCCGCCCAGAGGTCAAGCAGAGGTTGGTAGAAAGTCAAGACAGACCCCTCCTAGGAGTTCACAAGATATACAGAAGTGAGCACACACCCCCTCACAATTTGTTGCCAGCACTTTAGACATTAATGGCTGGGTGTTGCGTTATTTTGAGGGGACAGCACATTGACACTAGTTATGCAAGCTGTATATTCACTACTTTACATTGTAGCCATTGTATCATTTCTTCAGTGTTGTCACATGAAAAGATATTTACAAAACATGATGGGGCGTACTCACTTCTGTGATATATTGTATCTCTAGTTAGGCAGATATTAGTGCTTTAGTCTGGCAAGATTCTGTCTGTAGGCAAATAGCAATAAGGAAACTATTTAGAAGTAACTCCAGGCGTCGTTCTTGGTTCTTGGAGCCTACCAGAGTGCCATCTTGTCTTTCAACCCACCCACCCCCTCCATCACTCATTTATAGCATTCCATATTCAGTAAAACCAGAACATTAAACATCCACATGCTAAACGTATGTATGTATGTATGTATGTATGTATGTATGTATGTATGTATGTATGTATGTATTTAGTGTCACAACTCCTGGTATGCCCAAATATGGGAGGAAGCCTACTGCTTCCTTTCTCTGTCTATCGGCTCGTCACAAGAGACCATCCAGACAGAAACCCAATATTTTTACTGTTGCCTTTGTTACATTTGTGTTGTATTTGTGCTGATAAATAAATAAAGATAGATAGATAGATAGATAGATAGATAGATAGATAGATAGATAGATAGATAGATAGATAGATAGATA